CATTGATTTGAGTTTCAAAGTAAACATGTTTTCTAGTTTCATGTTTTCAGAAATAGTTTTCCAAAACAACAAACAGAACGCATTTTCAACAATTTCAAAACGGACACTCAAAACACAAAACACAAAACGAATTCAAAACTCAAAACAGAAAATTGAAACACAAAGAGAACGGCACCTTAGCCTTTCTTTGGTGCCCATTAGTTTATATAAAAAAAAATTGATTAGTATTTTTAGGACAATGTGTAGTTAAAAAGTAGGAAAAATTTTTGGAATTACGTACTGAATATTTTATTGTATGAATATATAGTTGAAAATGATTATGTAGTAAATTTTTTTTAAAACAATGAGCACCAAATGGGACTCCAATATCATGTGATGACAGAGTTTGAGCATCTATTCTAGCAACGAATTTCTTCTTTCTTCCACATTTGCTTTCTTTACATCCTGTTACCTTTTGAAAAAGTGACTGAAAATTTTGACAAAGAGTCCCTTTAAATATCATTATTTTGTGCTTTAGTGACTTTCAAGTATCCAAGGAAAGGAACAATAAGTAGTGGGCAGAATATCAAAAACTTATAATCTAAGGTCATTTTTCTATCTCCATTTATCCTTCCTATTCTCTTAGCCAAACGTAATTGAAATTAATCTGATTTTTTCTCAAGATGGCATTAAGTAATAATATTATCGGTGCAATTAATTTTGTTGCTATGCTTCTTTCAATTCCAATAATTGGTGCTGGAATCTGGCTTGCAACAGAACCTGATAATTCTTGTGTGAAGATTCTACAATGGCCAGTAATCATTCTAGGCGTTCTTATTTTACTGGTGGCCCTTGCTGGATTCATTGGTGGGTTTTGGAGGATTCCATGGCTGCTTATTTCCTACCTCATTGCAATGCTTGTTCTGATAATATTGCTTGCATGTTTGGTTGTTTTGGTCTATATGGTGACAATTAGAGGTTCAGGCCATCCAGCGCCGAGCCGGGCTTATTTAGAGTATCGTCTAGACGACTTCTCGGGGTGGCTCCGTCGAAGAGTTAGAAGTTCTTACAAGTGGGATAGAATTAGAAGTTGCCTTAGCTCTTCCAGCATGTGTGGTGAATTGAATCAGAGTTATCGTATGGCTCAAGATTTTTTTAATGCCCATATCACTCCTTTGCAGGTAAATTTTCACCGGTTTTTCCATTTTAGCAATTTATTTTTTGTATCCGAGCATATATATAGGATTGTTTCACTTTAAACAACATTCGTTCCGTTTCCCAAATCTGCTTTCTTTATAAAATGAGGGATCTACATTCTCTCACAAAGTATTTAACATTTGTTTTAGTAATTTCCCAACTTCGAAGTATGGTAAGTTTTAATAATAATATCGAACTAACTCATCTAAAAGTTCAAGTTACCATAAACGGATTGCGTGTATTTTTTTTTTCTTTTTCCATCGGAGGCCTAACTAAAGAAGTGACATTTATTTATTTATATACCTTTAGTCTTCAACAGACAATGTTCATGTGAAATTAAGACTTGTTTTCTGTAAAGTACGGGATAATGTTAACGAAGAAAAGAATATAAATTGTTGCATGTTGTAGTGTGAGTTCTACACAAGAATTATGCCCTCAAAGTTTTAAGCATTGTAGGATATATCAAAGTGTAACAATGACTATAAATTAACGATGTGTATTATCCTTTTCTTTTCCCAATATATATTCCTTGTCTTTATCTTTTTGATTGTACATAGGCCCCGTTCGGGAGGGATTAAAATTCAATTAAAATTGAAAATATGGCCGTTATTGGGTCCCACTCGTCTAATAAAAGTCAACAATAACGGCTATATTTTCAATTTTAATCCGATTTTAATCCCTCCCATACAAGGCCTGAATAT